ACGTGGAGTCGGGATATAGAGGTGACGGGCACAGTGGTCAGAAGTGAATCAACCTTGCGTCATTGGGGTTCTGTTCAATGGGACAGTAGGGACACTTCAATTTGGTGCCATTGGACAGCTTGTTGAGGGCGTCCCTCGAGATGACGTGTCCGCACACCAAACGCATGGGCGGGTTATTCTCAGAGGACTGTTGTCTGAGTATAGGACACGCGAAGATCGAGTGGAAGTGACACTTGCGGCTCAGGTCGATCTCGATGGGCAACTCATCCCTGGTGTTCCACACGTTGGTCACCTGTCTCTGTTGCATCACTTGCTTGATGTTCAGGAGGGCCGGTAGGGCCACACAGCCGGCGTTGATGGTGACCGCGAGGGGCGACTCGACGCTCAGCCCTAACAGAGCGCACGCGTCTCTCGTGAATATATCACAGATTTCGCTCCACGAGAGGCTGTCCAAGAGGTAGGCGTACGGCGAGTTCTGGAGCCCCACCTTCAGGTACAGCAACGACCCCATCATCGCCTGTATCTCGCGCTCGTGTTTGTCGGCCAACGGCTGGAAGTACTGCCGCGCGTACTGTATGAGCGCCATCTGGTTCTCCACCCCTCCCTTCAACAGCTCAATGAACTGCAGTCTATGGAGTTTGAACTCCAGATTGGAGGCCGAGTTCTGGGCCCTCAGCTGATCCCTGTTGACGATCGCCCACTGGAGCGCCGGCTGCAGGTCCCTGGCCTTCAACGAGTCGAGTATTGTATTCAATTCGGTGAACGGCCTCTTCTTGTGGTCGGGTATGTCGAGCTTCGCCTCGCGGGTCAGCTGTTCGGCGATGTCCAGCATTCCCTGCCTCAGGAAGTGCTCCACAATCACCTGATTCAAGATAATCGTGTTCGCCGGCGACTCAAACACCGAGTCGTTGCTAACGGACGCGTAATCGCAGATGAAGTTCTTGTCGATGGCTTTCCCGATACGGCTCACCGACGAGTGGATGTCCCGGTGCTCCGACGAGAACTGCGAGATCGTGTTCCGGGTCTTCTTAATCACGTTGTCGTACAGCAGATCGCGTTGTATTTGTGTCAACTCGTTGGCCGGCGCTGTGGACACGCAGTCAAAGACATTGCAAAATAAGATATCAGTTGGCGTTCAATGGATGGGACATTGGATTCGCGGTGCAATGGGTTCACCGATTGGCAGGTCATCGACACCGCCATACATACCGCTCAAGAGCATGAGGTCGCGTTGATAGCTATTGATCTGTTGGATTAGGTCATCGAGGGTCTGGTCGTTGTGTCTCTGCAACTCGTGAAACTTGTTCACCACTTTGTCCACCTCTTTCTCCACGTTCACCACCGCGTCACCCATTGTCACCACCAGTTGATCCGCACCACGATCGCCACCACCGCCTATACCACGGCTGCCGTCGCAGCTATAGCTAACAGATAGTGATCACCACTTCCTCGGGAGGTGTCTGTGGCAACAGATAATGACAACAACTTATGACACAAACAAATGGGTACTTGACTTGAGTTCACAGAAATCACTGATAAATGGCTATTGAATGCAAACACTGTTTACAATAATATTACTGTAAATATAATTGAGTTTTATTTGTGTTACAAA